GATATCTCCAGGCAACAAGTCACCCAGTAAATCCATTAAAGGTTGGGTTTTAGGGAGTTTTATTGACATAAATGATATATAGCTCCATGTGACAACCTTTGTAATCTCTGTATTAATTTGTATATTACATTATTAAAGTTAATTAACATGGTTAAGCTTTTGTTCCAAAAAAAAAAAATATAAGTAAATATATGTATTCTTCAAAAACTCTTTCCACTGATCTTCTAACCACACACAAAAAAGATATTTACAAGAAGTCACTATACTTATTGACTAATAAAGTCTTATTACTCTCTTTAAACCAACTTGAAGAGTACTTCAAGAGTTACCCACACTTCTTTCCTATACTATTCATGTTTTTTTTCTAATAAAAACTAGACTTCTATAATCAAAAGTCTGGAAGATACCTTTTCTACCAATGGCATAAAAGTTCTGAAAGAAAGAAAAACTGATGCTCTGCTACCTATCAGGTATACAGAAAAACTCTACAGAGCTGTCTTGTGATGAAAGAACCAACTTCTCACACTCTTCTTTAATATATAAACTCTAATAGTACTCTTTCTCAGTTTTTTCTGAGAAATTTTACCTACCTCAGTTTGATCCTGAATTTTAAGTAGCACAAAGTTTCTTATAAACTAATTGACTCAGTAGAATCATATTAGTAAAAGAATGTAAACAAGCTTTTATTGATTACTCAATGTGTCTAAATGTACAGTAGTTTCTCAGCTCCATAAAAATCAAGGATCCATCATAAGTCATATTGCTTGGTGCAGGTGGATATAGGACACATTACTAACATATATGTATATATAAGAAAAAGTTTATCTGACCATAGTAAAGGTTATAAGAGCTTGATTAACTTTCTAAAAATTAGAGCCACCTACTCTTGATTGTATATTAGGTAGGTTTTTGCTCCTATTGCTCAAAAAGTTCAATTAGAAAAAGTAAAGAAGATAATTAAGAACATTTAGTAGTAAAGCTAGTGTATATAGTAAATCAAAAAGTTTTCATTATATCTTTAAAAAACCTCAAGCTAAAAGACTAGAAAATTAACACTACTACACCAATCAAAACTCAAGTTCAAAAATGTTAGTATAGATATGTGAGTCATCAAATAATCTAGGAGATTCTTATTAATCACTAACATTAATGGCTATCAGCAGGATATGTCAACTATGAGATTAGATACAGTCATTTTATAAGGAATTAAATTTAAAATATAATGCACAGATAGATAAATATATTCGTATTTAGATAAGAATGTGTTTAATTGATGATATACTAGAAGACTTTCAAGTTATTTATGCAGATACAAATATATTATTTGGATCTTCCTAATTACTCTCTTCCCATAAGTTTTAAAACTGTAAAGTTTTTCTCTTTATTTTTACTTTACTTTTATAAAGACTCAGTAAAAGCTCCCTTAGATCACTATTAAGAGGAAAACTCAAAAAACAAGATAGGTATTTGCTAAGAAATATCACAGTTATCTTTTAAATATAGCACATGACCATTCCTTTTATTCTTCTTTTAATTTTTTTTAATAATACCAATATGTTTAATAAGATGTTAGTTTCTTTTATAAAAAAGAGGACAATAAGTCTCGAAGTAGTTTTAGCTTATTGAATTCTTTATTTATTTTAAATATATACATTTGTATATATACTTAGTGCAATTGTATAAATATAATTTGGAAATTAATAAAGATTAGACATAAGCCTATTAATAATAATAATATATATATATATATATATATATATATATATATACAATATATATTGAATAATTTTTTTTTTGACTAGATCTGTAAATCTATAGTGCAGTGGGTATACTCCCAGGTCGCCATCTGTTATGTTTCAGTTCAATCCTACTCAAGAATAACACATGCAATTTAGATGAGGTTTTTCCAGACTATATTACATTACAATGTATAGATTATAAGGAACTATACCATCTAAAGAAAATTACCATTTAATAACAGTTCCACAAACAGGTTATACAGATTATGGCTGATTTTAGCACCTACCATAACAATAACATCATGTTAATTGGAATATATGAAGACCGAAGAAAAAAACCAATTGGTTCACTTCCAATGATCTAGATACTGATATCTATCTCTTCTCAAAAAACTCACTTGTGGAAGACTGGGAGACATTGATCACATGTACTAGTCAAAGATGTAATGGACCAGACACATACTGGAAGACATGCATTATTGATCACCAATGGCTATCACAAAAGGATGACTTATCCTACCAAGATCAAGTAATGTTGAATCAAGACTCACAATGGAAAAATGTAGAAGTAAATCCTGGGAGAAAAAATTTGGAAACAATCACCAAGATAATCAATCCAATGGAAGAAACAATCTGCTATAAAGTAATCAAGAGAAGCCCTTGAAAGATCATATTTGAAAAGTAGTTAAAAATGATTAAATGGAAAATGAAAGTTGAACGTGATACACCATTCAACTGCTGGGATCTCACATCAAATCAAAAGTTTGAATAATAATAGGTAACCCTAGCAGTCTAAATATAGCATGATGCTCATATCAGAATACAAACAATTCAATATCCTCCCATAATAGTAATATATTCCAGCCCTTTGATAATATAAAAATACAAGTCCATGATGGATCCTTATAAATATCACTGCCCAGGCAGAGTGAAGGTACTGATATAATAGTACCTTACAGGTAAAATTAAGTGGGTTTATAAGAAACGAGATTAAATAGCACTAAAATTAGTTATACGAATTGCTCATATAATCATATGTATTGTTCAATCTTAATTCTAATAAATTACTGTCAGTTATGACTTTCAAAAAAAAAAAAAATTTTTTTTTGACTAGTATATTCTTTATTTATAATAATATAATAAAGTTAAAATAATTTTACCTAATTTTAAATATTAATTTTTGAATTAGAATTTTGTATAAATTATATTTTAATTACTATTAAATTTTTCAATTTTAAATAGTAAATAATTATACTTAAAAATATTAAATAATAGTTAATTTATCTTACACTATAAAAAAATACTATAAAATTATATATAAATATAAAAGACTTATTTTAATCCTTTGTTATCTTGATTTTGACTTTAATAATATTTGTTTTTAGATTTTTTCTAAGAAATTTTATTTAACACAGTTTGATTTTAAAATTTGAGTAACACAAAATTTTCATATTATAGTTGGACATAATAAAACATATTAGGAAAAGAATATAAACAAACTTCTATTAATTATTTTATATATTCAAATATATTACCTTAAATTTCTAAAAATTTAAAATTTATCATAAGTTACTTTATATTTGATATATGTGAATAAGAAATATTAATATATTTTATATAATTGATCAAACAAAAAAGTAAAAATATATAACTTTTTTTTTCAATTAAGATGACAAATAAAAATAAGACTGGAAATATATGACAAAAATAATACCTTATTTTAATCCTTTTAGAGCTTCCACTTTCATGATTTTTAAGGATTTTGTCTATTTTAATTTGATTCTAAATTTTGAATAGTTTAAATTCCTATAAAAAATAATTGACTGATATAAAACATATTAATTTATTAAATATAAATAAGCTTATATTAATCATATTTACATATTCTGATAATATTAATAATAATTAAAAAAATTTTTTTAGAAATCATTCTTTTTTAAAAGTCTCAAGTCTTCAAAAAAGATATTTAAGATATTAAAAAACAAGAAATGAATAATATAATTGCAAAATTTTATCCTTTTTAAGTTTTTTAAATAATAAAAAGGTTTTACTGATTAGAAACTAAGATTTTTGAGTTTCTTTTGAATATTCTAACATAGTATTTATTTAAATAATAGATCTAGTTAGATTAACTTAATATTATAGATAGTAACAAAAAAAAAGATTTTTTTTAAGATTTAAGTAGAAGCAAGAAGAATATTCTAATTAGACAAATCTTTTTTAAAAGGAGTTATTCAGCTAGTAGACTTTTTTAAAAAAACTTAATTATATCACTTTTTTTTTTTCTTCTTTATCTTTATTAACTTAACAATTTATAATTTTCAAATAATCTATAATAACAAACTGTTAATAATAAATCTAGAAAATAAAAGTTTATATTAATTCTTAAAATATTTCTTCTAGAACCAACTTAAAATATTTTAGTATAATAGTAAGTTAATTATTATATGAAAAATCTATAATATTATAGACAGTTATATAAATTTTTTTAATAAGGTTAATGAATTTTTTTTAAAAAAAATAGAGATAATCTTTGAAATCATATTCCAAGTTTTAAAAAAAGTATTAAAATTTGTTTTATTAGTAAAGAAATAAAAAAATTTTTATATAAAATAAAATAAAATAAAAATATTTATTAAAATCAAAAAATATTTTAATTAAATAAAAAAATTTTCAATTTAAAAATTTTTTGAAAAATATTAATATTAAAAATATATATATTTATACTTTTTTATTTTTCTTTTGTAATTTAATTTTGTAACTGTTATTATTAATAAATAATTAATATTATTATTCTGTTAACTATAATCTTTGATTTAAAAAACTTTAAATATTTATAAACTGATCTGGCAATATAATTAATTGTAAATAAATCATTGTTTTATTGTTTTAATATAGAATCAAAACTTTAATTACAGTATAATCAATTTTAACAATAGGATTTAATTCAATTCAAAAAATTATTTATGATATTTTATACTTTTTATAAATTTAAACTATTTTGCTATATATGCAATCGAATTGTAAACCAATGTAATACACAAAACGAGACTCATTTTTCTTAAATTTTAATCTTCAATTCAATAAAAAATCGTTAGATAACACATTTCTAGCAGAATAACAAGAGGAGAGGACATCACTAGATACGAGCAAATATATGTCTGACTGCATAAATGTATATATAATCATAGAAATACATTCATTCTCCTCTTATCCCATAGGACCAATAGGACAAATATACTTTTTTGTTTTCGCCCTGATTTAAAGGTCATCTTCTTCCTCTGTTTAATAAAAAGACATTTAGATTTGTAATTAACCAAAAACCGGTATCTCATCAAAAACTTACCAGGAAGAGGTTGATTCGCGGCCATTTCCAACTCTACCTTATATTGTTCCATTAGGTTCGGGTCCACCGAGACTTCCGGTGGTGCAAGCGCAGGGGAAGCAACAAACTCAAGATTGGGGTTTCTTTGTTAAATAATAAATTTAATTATTAAATAGATCAAGAATCAAGAACGAACACTATGAAGATCAAATAACTTACCCTATAAGCTTACGAGCTAACCACAAAAATGGTTTTTCGAAATTATAATTACTTTTGGCGGAAATGTCGTAGTACTGAAGATTTTTCTTGCGGTGGAATGTAATCGTTTTGGCCTTAACTTTACGTTCCTGAATTTTTTAAAAAACGGATCTTGTTATTTATCCATAAAATAAGATCTAGGTATCAAATAATCCTAATAACTATTATATTATCTAAGATATGTTTAACATAAAATTACATATACGAAAGACGAACCTTTATGTCAACTTTATTACCACAAAGGACAATAGGAATGGTTTCACACACGCGAACTAAATCCCGATGCCAGTTTGGTACATTCTTGTATGTAATCCTGGACGTTACGTCGAACATGATGATGGCGCATTGCCCTTGAATGTAATAACCGTCTCTGAGACCACCAAACTTTTCCTGTCCCGCAGTGTCCCACGTGTTGAAACAAATAGGGCCAAAGTTTGTGTGGAAAGTCAAAGGGTGAACCTCGACCCCAAGAGTTGCTATTACATAATATAATAAGGATTTAAATTAAGTTAACTAACGTTGCACTATTTGGTTTTTAACGGTCAAGCCTTAAAAAAAAAAATGACTATATGATACTTACCGACATACTTCTTTTCAAATTCACCAGTCAAGTGACGTTTGACGAACGTCGTCTTGCCGGTACCACCGTCGCCGACTATTTAAAAGACCGCGTCGATAGACCGTTAGTAAAATATTTAATCAAAAAAAAGCAACAACTGAATAGAAATATTTTTACCGAGAACAAGTTTAAACGTTGGTACTTCTTGTTGAGCCATTTTATATCTTTCTAGAACGGTAATCAAACCGTAAGGGTAAATCACGATGAAAAAAAAAAAGAAAGAAAAGAAAACAGTATAGGCAACAGTTATGTTAATATATTTAACGCGTCTTATGAAAAAAAATTTTTTTAGCAATTCAAGGTTAGCAAAGAACATATAAACGGATGGATAAAAAAACTTACATTTGATATTTGTCTAGATGAAAATATTTTGTCAAGAGAAGTAATAATGGCTGGGATTTGTATGGCTATTTCTGCTCCATATATTTGTGATTGGTTGATTGGTCTTTCATAATTCATATTAGTAATTGCTACGTATTAGGCGCAAGGCACTGACGTAATAACGATAATAGTTTACTAGTTTTATTTTTTATATATTTTCAAAAAATTTTTATATAAAAATTTTTTTCTTTATCAAATTTTTACTTTTGAATAATTTTAATTTATTATAAATTTAAAAAAATATAATATACTGTATGTATATAAATTTTATAATTTTTGATTATATAATTAAAATTTTAAAAATGGATAAAATTAAAATTTATAATAAAAATATAATAAATAAATTTAAATTTTTAAAGTAATCATAATTTCTATATACTAATTTATTAAATTTATATAATTATTTTTGATAGTTTATTTATTTATTTATTTTAAAAAACTTGAAAATACTTTTTATTTTTTTATTTTATTTTTTTATTTAAAAATTATGAAGTCCAATTATATTAAAATTATCAATTATTACTAATATATAACAATCTTATCTATGATTTAGATAAAAAATTCTTTTCACTAATCCTCTAATCACACATAAAAAAGATGTTCGCAAGAAGTTTTTATACTTTCTTGTTAATAAAGTTTTAATACTTTCCTTAAAACAACTTGAAGTATAACTTCAAGAGTCACTTCTACCCTTTCTTTATTGTTTACAAACCTCTTTACTTAAAAACTTGACTCCTAGTAACCAAGAAAAGTCAAGCAATACCTTTGATACCAATAGCAAGAAAGTTCCTAAAGAAAGAAAAACTGACTGTAAAGTATCTGAAGGCCTATTTAACCTTTGAAGCAAGAAATATATAGAGATTTTTGATGACAGAAGAACTTATTTTTTCCCTTCCAGTCACTTGTGGACCTTTTAGAGCTATTGCTTTCATGGTTTTCTGGGAATTTTATCTACCTTAGTTTGACCCTGAATTTTTAATAACACAAATCCTCATCAAAGGTGATTGGCTAATATGAAATATGTCAGTTTTTGAAATATAAACAAGCTTCTATTGATTATATTCACATGTCTTGATACATCATTGGTTATGTAGGAAAGAAAGTTTTAGAAAAAGTATCCCCTTTAATCATGTATGTTCAACCTTTCAGAAATAATTATGATATCAAAAGGTGAGCGATAGATATAAAAAGAAGATTTAACTTCCATCTTTCATTAAGTTTCTCAGGTAGTAAAAAGGCTTTCTTGAACAAAAGCTGAGGTTTCCAAGCTTTTATCCCGGTTAGGCAAAGTTCTTGAAAAGATTTCTTTATTCCGATTAGGCAAACTCTTCCATAATATGGTGCTGACCTCAACAGCGATAAGCGAATTTATACATTGGAAGAAGAATAAGTTTCTCAAACATTCTTCTTGAAGTCACTTTCAAGAATGGCTAAGTTCCTCAAATGACATGAAGCTTAAAGAATATCCCAATCAGGCAAACCCCTTTTGAGAGAAAACTATGAAATGGAGCAAGAACCTTTTGGAGGGCTTTGATTTGCATTCCTTCCCCTTTTTTTTTCCCAGTGCTAACTTTACCAATCATCATTTTTCAGGATAATCTATAGTAACAAACTGTTGGTGATAACCCTGGTTAACTTAGAGGTACTATTGCCAAGCTATCAGAAAAGTGAAATATTGCCCCCTAAATCTGACTTAGAGTGTCTAGTTTAGACATAGTTTTATTTAGTTTGAACTAGCTTAGTGGACTCCTCATATTTTTTAAGTAGTATAGTCCTTTAACTAATAATGTACAATGACAAATTAGTCGTTTTGTGAAAGTCTGTAAAATATTTAGGTATTTCTCAATATCTCAATAAAGACATGCCATTGTGACATAATTGCGGATTAAAAAAAAAAAAAAAAAAAAAAAGTTTTTTATTAATTTATAGTGATATAAGTATATATAAAGCAATTATATTTGATAGAATGCATCATCTTGATCTTGGTCTTTTTCAATGTCAAATTGAATATACCTGAGAGTTATTAAAAGATTTTTGAGATCTCTTACTATTAGATGAAATGGATTAAAGACTTGTAAAAATTCTAAGATTTTGGGATTAAGGATTTTTTCATATAGTATTCAATCTATTGCAAGATTAACTGCAAATGAATATAAAAATCTAATAAAAGTTATGATTTTTATAATAGATAATATATATGGTGAAATTTTTTTTTTTTTTTTTAAGTCCAACTGACAGGACAGATTTTTATTAAGTATTCAGTAGTGTCAGATTACATGATCAATTCATATAATTTTGATTAAGCTACCTTATTCTATATAAATCCACCAATTTTACCACATATAGTGATACCATTTTCATTAATTACCCTGCTCTGCCTAGGACTATAGCATTTCAAAGATCCACTAGTAACTTTTTTTATTTTTTATTAATCTTTAGGGGGCTTGTGTTATGTTCTTTAGTGAGTTTTCTTACCATATTTTTCATGATAGTGAGTACCATGGATGAACTTTACCACGTTTGAATCCTCTACAGGCTGATCGAAGCTTGGATGGCTCAGTCCCCCAGTCATGATCTTAATATCCAGGTAATTCAATGGTGTTATATCATTGGGTGGAATATAGCCTTCCATTGTCTCATTTTTAATCACTCTTGTAAGTTGGCCTTGCAGAGGTATTTCTTGATTACTTCATAGTGGATTGCTTCTCTCATTGGATTGATTTTCTTTAGTGATTGTTTTTGAATTTCTTCTCCCAGG